TCTTGATACTGGGAACTATTTTCATCTGCTGGGGAATGATTATAGGTCTGGCTGGCTCCATACACTCCTGTTTTAGGAAAAAAGGCCTTGCCTGTGAACCACAGTTAAGATTCATGTGGCCAGTCAACTACCACCACGCCAGCAACCGGCAAGGGAAAACCCTGCTCCGATAATAACGCTACATTTCTATAGCTCTTTTCATCTCAGAAGCACGTTACAAACTCAGAACAATAAACAATCGTACAGGGATTGTTGCATCCACTGCCAAAATGCATCTACCCTGTAACGACTCCGCGCAGCCCGTGGCTGCTCCGGGACAGGAAGCTCCGCAGCCCTTATCCCTCTGGAATCAGGAGCACGTTGCAGGAACCAAGAACAAAGCTGGTGGGAACCGGTCAAGACGTGGGGCCTTCGTGTTCCTAAGAAACAGGCTCGCTGCTTGTTTTGATGGTCTAGACCGAAACAAAAAATATCCCCTCCCCTTCGGCTGCTCAGCAGCCTCCCTCTGGGAGGGCTGGGATACCTAGTACACTTTCCAACCAAATCAGCTACCCCAGTCCCTAGACGCTTCTCATCCCTGCACTGGGCCTGTTCCAAACAACCTTTCTTGGCTTGTCTGAGAGCAACAAAAAGCATTTGTTTCCCCAAAAGCATTTGCTTCCCCACAACCACAGAATCCTGAAAAAAAACAGCTGCGTAGCGAGGATGCTGGAAGCACCACAAGGGCTCTGGAGCACCTCCGACACGGGCACCGTGGACATCAATTCATTCGCCCTCACAGGGACTTGCTGCATCAGGACTACAGGTGTTGGCAGCTTCAGGCCACAACCAACAGGCCATATCAGGAGAAAAGCCCTACGAGACATAACTAGGCAAGCAGGAACCGGAGTGGAGGCCACGCTCTCATCTGTCCCCATGCGCTACGGGCTCGCTGCCTGAAGCCTGACAAGCAGTTAGTGAGCAAAGGCCATTGCTTTTGGTAGCTGTAACAAAACCAGGGCCTTGCTTTCTTTCTGTCTGAGCTTCTGGGACCGTTTTGAGACACGGACACAGCCTCTGAGGGCAGTTACGTCTGGGGCTGCTTCACAGGGATAAGGACACGCAGCAGAGCAGTGGGAGGACCTACGCCAAGTCCCACAGCCGCGGAGGCAGGGGCGGCCCCAGCACAGGACCTGCCTTTCCTAATTTCCAGTCCCGAGGCTTAACCACAAACTGAAATTCATGTTTGTCATGCTGAAATAGGCTGCTGAAAGGCCACCACAGTTATGCCTAAACGAGCGTCTCATTCCTCTGCACTCCCTCCAGTTCTTTGATGCACCTGCATGGACACACAGGAAGAATGCAGCCTTCCCAACCAAAAAGACTCAAAAAAATGTTTAGATTTCACTGGTTCCAAAACACTGATAGCAATTTGACTAGCCTAAGGCAGACAGAGGGATGTGGACCTGTGTCATCCCAAAGCTTTCTTGGTTGACACACAGAAGCTACCGCATGCAGTCGATCTGCGGTACCAAGACACCCTGACCAAAGCTTTCGGCTCAGTATCTACAATGAAGCATTTTAATAAATGGTTTCGTTCTCAAAAACGCTGAGCAACACCAGGGAGTGCTTCAGCATGGCCCGAGTCCATTAAAGCACAGCAGAAGGATAAGGATATTGTTGGTGCTATCAGAGCAATTTTCACAGCTTTATGCAGCAGACCCAGCAGAATGAATATGCATTAAACCCAAATATTAACAATTCCTGAAAATCTGTGCTGCCCCCTGCGCTGCCACCGCGCTCTCTCCAAGCCAGGCTAACAGCTTGTGGCAGATTCTGCCTTATTTTCCAAAAAGAAAGAAACATGGACTAAAATATTTGTTTTATTCCCACCCCTGCCTGGCCCCACGGGGGGAGCAGAAGCATTAGGTGCTGTAGCCTCCCTGGGCTGTTGAGATGTTTCTGAAGAAGTGCCGCAAGAAACAACCACAAATTCCACCCTGCCACAGCAGCCCAGCAGGAAGGGCCGAGCTGCTGCCACAAGTCTCTCCCTTTGCCTCCCTTCACACGATTTTTGCCTCTCTCCATCTCCCGCTGCAGCTATGGCACGTTGGTGACACGAGAGTGACAGCACGTAACAGGCTGCATTGACCCGGCTGCGCTACCGGCCCAGCCTCCCGTCCCCGGCGGTCATAGCGCTGATGAAGGGAAATGAGCAAGGAGGGATTCACAGATGAGAAGATCCCCTGCAGGGAATCACGTTTCCTTCAAGCTCCCCAGGGCCTGGGAGCCAACGAGTCTCCAACAGAACTCGGGGCTGTTCCAAGGCTCTAGAACCAAAATGCGGTTTTAGAAAATAAACTGCCAGCCAAGGCCCACAGCCCCAAATCATTTCAAGATTTTCCCATTTTAATGATAATTATTATACTTACAATAATAACTTCATCCAGATCTCCTGCACCACCTGGCATCCATGACTGTTGGCAACATGGGAGCTTACTTGAATGTGGTATAAGGAACAAAATTGATTCTTTCTTATGACTCAGCTGTGAAATCTGTAAGTAACGTCCTTGCTGTTGTGTTGTAGATGAGGGAGACAGACAAGCTGTCTCATGCATCTGCCTTAAGTCACACAGTCAGCACTAGCTTTACCTTCCTGCTAATCTTTAGGGCAAGATCTTGGCTCTGCTGAAATGGATGGGAAGAAGATCGTGATCAAAACTGGTTCTGAGCAAAGACTTTAGCCACAAGTCGAATGGAAGATATGAAAGTTCACAAATGCAAATCGCTTTCCAGGGAGAGGGGGAGCTTATACATTTCGTCTGTGTTTTGTTTTGGGTTTTTTTTTTTTTTTGAGGAGAAGTGATTTATTCACCACCCTTTTGCTGCTCTCCACAGGCAGAAACCCCGGAGAGGCGCCCGCTCTGGCACCAGCGCCCGGGCAGGTGGGAGAGGATCTGCTCCCTCACGGGCACATTGGAGACTGCTCCAGCCACTGCATCCAAACCTTCTCCCTGAAGAAGTTCAAACCAAGGTACATGAGCAACATTCCCTGCAAGGTTTGCAACAAAAACTGCTTCACTTTGAGCCAGATAAGGCACCATGGGCAGAGGAACGTCCATTACTTAGGAGAGAGAATCAAGACAAGCTCCTGTTGTTTTAGACTGGACACCCTGTTCATCTACAAGGGATTAAGCAATTCTGATGAGTTAATTTTTACATTTCACACCCAGACTCAGACATTCTTTCACATGCTGCTCCCAATGCAGCCTCTCCTTTGCAGGAGAGCTCCTAGGCAGGCAGTAATACCCCCAAGGGGAAGAAACATTTTGAGATTGCTATAGCCAGAAATATGTAGAAATACATTTAAGGTTTTCTTTTAGAGCGAAGAGAAAAAAAAAAAAAAACAGATCACTTCACCTCTGCCTGCACCTCCATCCCTTAGAATGGAATCAGAGCTGGAAACTTGCTGACACCAGCTCCCACAGCCCTGTGCAAAGCAAAGAGCAGCCAGTTCTGGAGCAGTTTGCTCGGGGTGGGGCGACCATCCGGAAACAACTATTTAACCCTTGTCTCAAAATGACCTTTTTCAGGGCAAAAGGCCCCAGCTCTGCCTCCCTGCTAAGCTGCACAGAGCTCTTTCTGTGGGGCTGGTTTTCCATCCACCCCCATCCTGAAGAAACCAGCTGGTTCCGATTTTTATTCCTTCGCTTGGGTTTAAAAGAACAAAGAAAACCCTTTCTGCATTGCATAAACATACAAAAAGTAATTTTACTTGGCACTGTAGTATTAAAGCCCAGCATGCAAAGAAACAGCCAAGGTCTCTCTCAGTCCTCAGTGTGTTTAGAAAAACCGAACTCCACGCATCCATTTGTTTGGGTAACCAAACCAGATGTGCACTAGGGAACTCCTGGCTTGTTCTGGGAAGCGGTCTGGGTCGTTTGCCTTTGTGCTATCACCAAAAAAATGGAAATTAAATCACAACGTTTAAATCCCATAAAATTGTGTTGACTATTACGACACACCCAAGCTGGGAAATTTAATGAGCCTTAATCCATCTGCATGTCCAAAAGCTCCTTTTAGGCAAGACTCTGCATATTTCCCAATCTTCTGTTCCACCAACCAACTGAAGTCAGACTTTTCCTTCTGTAGCTCTCCTACAAGCTTATTCATTGTGACACCCTGCAAAATTTTGCTTATGGGGAGACAAGAAGCAAATATTGGTGACAGAACTGAGGTATCTAACTTGGACTAGTTATAATAATGTCAATTAGCAATAGCTGCTGGTCGTCATTCTCTCTGAGAATAAATGAAGTGTAGGATTGCTGAGCAGGGCAAGAGGGACTGGCTGTCCGAGGCCCTGACAGACACGGTGGCTTTTGCTTTGTTCAGCACCAGGAGGGACACCCACTGTATTTACCCCCAGTAAATACAGATTTTAAATGTTAGTATCATCAGTCAGTAAGACTGGTTGATAAAGCCAGAGTTTAATGGTATGGTAGCTGTAACTATGGCCTTTGAAGACATCTACTGTAAGCTACTCAGTAGAAAACAAGTGGAGCCTAGGTAGCACCAGAATACCGTATCTGGAACACAGTTTGAGTTAAAATTGCAGGGTTTTCTACAAGGCAATTGAAAAAAAAGTCAATTATTATCACTGGGAGAAAGTCAAGGGGAAAGTCAAGAAAGTCAAGCTGTCCAGCTTCAGCTCCATGCTTGCTGACATAGGTGTCCTTTTAGGAGAAATCCTGTATTTTTGCCTTTATGTAACAGTACAACTGTCCTAACAACCCTCAAAGCCCAGTTTTGAAATGCCAGCAGCACCAGAACGTGCAGACAGTTAATAGTCCTCCACCTCAGCTACTGGGAGCAAGGACTGAGACCAGACAAACTTGTTTTACTTGTGATCCCCGGCGAGCTCTATAAGAAGGCTGGCAGCAGCGGAGCATTAGCCCGTGAAAAGCTTCATCCTCCCTCCGTTTGTTTCTTTGTACAGCACAGCCTGCAGCGGGGCAGCCAGGATGTCTTCCGGAGGCTTCCTGAAGGAATTGCAAGTCATTGGGGAGAAGCTTCTCCTCAAGCTCCAGCGGCTGCCCAAGGCCGACCCGGTGGAGATCGTGTCTTTTTGTGTCATTCTCCTGTTCATTGGTGAGTTTATCCGCGGAGACAGAGGGCTCTCAAGGTCTCTCTTCTCTTTCACACTCTCGGGCTCTGGTAGCAGGTTGTATTTTCAGTGGTTGCTTTCCAGACTGGGCTCTAGAGCCCAATTTAGTTTCTAAGTCAGGTTTAATGTTCAGTGAGCGTCTCTGCACACATGTAGACTACGACAGGCAGCAATGTAACTCCTCTACTCAAATATTAAACTGCAATATTTAACCAGCCCCTACGTTGCTGCACTGCTTTGAGGCGATTCGTGACAAAAGGCATCGAGGGACCTCCCTGCCATGCAAAGCCACTCAGGTGGAGGCCACCAAGTGTCACCTCTGCGCCTGCCTCAGTGGCAGCAGTGTGCTCAAACGAGGGTGCTCGCCTCTGGTCGTGACAAGAGCCCTCCTGCTGCCACGGCCGATGACGTGGAAGGAACAACAAGGACCTGCGTGGGCTGGGCAGGATGAAGATGGCCTGAACGGTGGCAAAACAAGGGGGAAGGCAGGGCCTGCCCTCCCCGGGGCACGCGGCGCCCAGGGGAAGGGTGTGCAGCAGCGGGACGCTCCTCCCCGCGCACAGGCTTTTAAGGAACGCAGACACACACACACACACACACACACACACGCACACACACATGCTCTTAATGCATTTGGAAGGGTTCGACGTGTCATCTTTTTCTCTTCCAGATAAACTAAGCTCTGACCATTATGGCTAATGCAGAATAGCAGTAGGTTAGCTCACTGCTTGAAAAGGCCCTGGGGGAGTCCCTGTAACTAGTTTCTGAGCCACTGCAAGCAGCCAGCTGGCCAGCGCACAGGGGCACTAACAAGCCAACCAAAACCCTATGGCTCTTCCTGAGCCCTGACATCTGTCCAGTGGAATGGATAACTAATACAAGAGGGGAAGAACTTGGAAGGAGGAAGGGCAAAAATCAGCAAGGAACCAGGCTTTCCTCATTGTGCTGTTCAGCAAACAACTTAGAGGAATCACAGGGCGATTCTCCAATGTTCTCTCTATGGTGTGGCTCAATATTTTTCTTTTTTCCAGCTACTGTTCTGGTGATGATGGTCATCGCCTGCAGCTGCTGCTGCCTCAGCTGCTGTAGCTGTGCTGGACGTCCTGACCACAGGCGGAGGAAGATCCAAGTCCGCCCAGCTGCGCATCCGTGAGGTGCAAGAAGGGCTGCCATGACCTGCTACCAAGGACACGCGTGGACATCGTGATTCAGTCACACGGGAGTGACTGCCTACACTAACTCGTTGAATATGGAAATAACAATATTAATGAACATGACTCAGAGGACCAGAAATCACAGCCTGGACTTCATTCTTTCTGCTGGGCTCCACGGTGTGACCACAAAGGTAGCGCTAATGCCACTTGGCCATCAGGGTCTCTCTCAGCTGGGGTGGAGCGGGGTGCATGGACACACACTGGCAGGAGGACACCCCTTCCCCGTGACAACCCTGCAGCTGGGCCAGCCAAGGATTCCCCATGCGCCTGTGGAGCCAGAGACCAAAGCAGAGAACAAACTGCCGCGTGGCCAGGCAGCCCCTGCCCTCCTCGCAAGCGGCTCACCCCAAGGACGATGCAGGGCACTAGCAAAACCCACTGACATCACGGGGAGGTCGTGTGCTCAGGACACTGCGGGTGAAGCCCAAACCTGCTCTCTCAAAAGCCGGGCACAACCAGGCCGAACGTTTAGGTGAGATGTCTGCTGAGAGCACAACAAACCTCCCGAGATGACGTGCCAAGCTGAGGCTCTGAGTGCAGCTGGTCACTCCCTGCTTCTCTTCCTCTGTGTTACAAGGATGTGAAACAGCCAAAGAGAACAATTTGATTGTGTGCAATATCAGTTGTAATCAGAAAGATGAAGGCAAAAGGGGAAAACTTACAAACGTTACAGTTTAATTTGATCGCTCTACTACTGGCCAGCTCCCTGCCACCCATCCTCTCCGTGGCACTCAGATCCTTCAGGAGTTCTGCTCGTTCTGCATATTGCAGGTGAATGTTTCTTGCGTAGCCCAAGGCATTGCAGAGGTGCCGTGCAGTCTGGTGGGCGTCACTTCAGGGTGGATATGCAGCAGCTGACAGCTGCGTTTTCACAAGGCAGAGCCAAGAATGGGCCGCACAGCTGCAGTTAACAAGTGCAAATAAATCCCTTTTCCATGCTGCAGCCCCTGTGTATGTTTGGTTTGTATTTTGGTGAACTCCACAAAGAGATTTTTGTAAGTACAAGGCTATAGCAGAAGGAGTTATATCATCGTGCACCTATTCTGTAGGCTACTGGCATTTATTCCAGCCCTAAACAGTTACACCTTAACATGAAATCAGCCATCTCAAGCAAGTTATCTACATGCACATAGATAATCCATCCTCTCTCCTTCTGGGGAGACCGCTAAGTTTGGAGGAGTCAAAGAGATTGCACATGTATATACCAGCTTCCAACCAGAGAGCAAACTCATCAGGTTTTTAAGCAATGAGCTTTTAAATACGCCTCATACTTCAGGGGGAGCAACAGAGAAAGCTTTGTAAAGAAACCTCTTTTTGATGCTTGCACTTGGATTAAAAATGAGCATTGCATCAGTAACTTAGGAATACACTGCACTTGCATTTTTTTCAAAGAAACTAGATGTAGGTATTTTGCACTTTTGCACAGCTGCACAATGGTATAAATCTGCAACACAGAGGACAGTTTAAAAATTAAGAACAAAAAGAGAAAGAAAATGTTTCCAGCAGGAGATGGGCATGTTCTTAAGAGAGCAAAGATTTGAGCCCCAACCTGACAACTGCCAGTGAAAGGAAGATTCCCCAGAGCTGCTGCATGCACAGACTAACAAAAAACTGCTTTTTATTTTGCTACATCAAAGCTTTCACTCCCAGCAAACATGTCAGGGTAGGATAAGCTCAAGTGTGTCATCAGTTTACTCTTTAACATTCAGAGATGCATCACACTGTAACCCTTCTGTCAGATACGTTGCTACGTTGCTTTTTTCATTTCATTTACAGAGAGGTGACAGTCAAGGTGACAGGACATTTTGGAACCCCTCTTTTGCAGGTGCTGGGCTCAATTTAACAGACCTTTTTGTTTCTTGATTATATCACAAGCCCTGCGAAAGAACAGAGCTTTCTTTTCTTCCTAGCTTGTGCTAGACATGCCAGCTACAGGAATTAAGAGGATCCCACTGAGAAACGTTCCAGCGACATGGAATGGGCCTGTGCTAAAGGAGTCAGAAGGAAGTTCTGTGGGTTGGAAACACATCAGTGCCTGACAAGCTGCTGTCACTAGGGATGAGCTCAGAGCTGCCAGGCTCTGTCTCAACATGAAAGGCCACAAACGCTGGCTGGCCGTGCTGCAAGTTAAACCAGGGACAGACAACGGGCACGGACAGAGGAAACGGCTCCTCTCTTATCTCTGCCACTGCTAGTTACTGAATTAGAAACAGAAGATAAACACAGCATAGTTATAAAAGAGAAGGGGAGAAAAATGAAGCAGGACTCTAAGGAATTGGGGGTGCCTTTGCAGAGAAGAGGAACAGCCACCAAGCGCGTGACACCGCAGCACAGGGGTTCCCAGGTTGATTTCCACACTCCTGCTCTGCCTGCCATTGCATACTGTGCACGCAGGAGCACGACTCATACAGCTGATGCATCTGCACGAGTGTTTGACTACTGCATTTTGCCAGCTTCTTGTATACAAAAGATCAGGTTGGCCAGAAAGATGCCCAGCAAATTTCTGATCATTTTACTGCAGTTCTTGAGTTTCAAAAAAAAGCGAGACAGTCTGAGTCCCTGCTCACACTCACACAAG